ATGTGCGTGTAAATTGAATGCAAAAAAATGTGAATTCACTTGAGTTGAATAATCCTCCACTGGGTGTAGCCAAGAAAGCACCGAGACAAGAGGAATAAGGAAGAAGCCCGAAGGATATTATGCAGGCAAAGAAGCGACGGTGACGCGCCTGCGGAAGCGTGACAAGAAAATCAAGACAGTAACGCACGCGACTCCATGATTTTTCCTGTTTCCCTTTCTTTTATTTTTATTTTTCCACTTCCACTCTAATCGATTCAAACTCCGTCGCCTAGGCCATCTCAACAAAATTCACTCGCAACCGCCCGCTCTCAGGAATTAAGAGCGCGAAAAATTGTGCGCGACTGGCGAATGTCACTCCGGATGACGCATTATGACGCGAACCATGCATAATGTGAAATCTCAATTTATACTTTATTCAAAGTGGCGCGACAACCACCGTCTCATTATGCACAGGGAATAGTCTACGCGACCTGCATAATATGCAAACATCCTATTACCGTACGTGGACAGTGTAATGGGTCCAAGAGTTTGTCCAGTTTTAGCGAGCCAGGAAGGAGGCGGATATTGCTAACAAACGCGTCAGGTAATTCAATGACACCACTAATGATCAATGTTGATGATGATTTATTTTTTTAATAACACTGACACTTCGTTAAACTCTAATTGTCGTAGCTCGTGCTGGATGATGGTATTTAATTTGCTTAACATTATTAAAATTATTTAATGTACTTTGGCTACTTTTTCTCCAGTGAAATGCCCTTACGATGAGTTTATTATTTGAATTTTCAGGGTATGAATGTGAATCTCGATATTGAGCTGTTGGAAAACATTTTAAAAATCTGAAAAAACAATTAGAAAGTTTACTTTTGGAGAAAGATTGATCGAATAATTTAAAAATTGCAATTTTTGAAAATTACGAGCATTTTTTATGAACAATCAATTTTCTACCGTAAAAACAATTTGTTCGGAATCGTAACAATTTTATTCATATTCAGAATTTTACCAAAAATCGATTTGATGCCTAAAAAAATGAGGATTCCGAAAGTTTAGACTATTTCAATAATTTATTTATCAATAAGGAATGTTTAATAATAATAATAGTTATAATGGTAATATTCATGACATTCAAAGCAACAATCGTATGAATAGATAATTGACAAATTTATTACCGCAACCTCAACTTTGTTAAATATTAAAGAATCATTTTCCCAAAGTTCTAAAATGAATAAAAAATCCGTGAGTGTCATCAATTGAATAAAATGTTAATGAAATTCCAAAGAAAATCACATGAATATTTTCCCCGATTTTGAATCCCTTGGAAATTCCATTCAATTAAATATTCAACTACTACAATAAATTGAAATATAAAATTCCCCATCGAAACTCCAAATTCGTCAAATAAAAAAAAATCGTGTCAATTTCCCTGAATGTGCCTTAACTATCGATGAAATCTCCGCAGACTGCCTTAAATCTCCAGCTTCATCATAAATTGTGACCACTGAAACGTTGAAATTGATTTTTAGCAATCCAGGAAGTCAACTAATTCCCCGTCCCACCTAATGATGAATTTTAATCGCGATACCTCCGAGAAAAACCGTGACGACCGATCACTCCAACGCAATTACCATAACCCAATGAATAATCCGCTCTAATCTCCTCAATTATCAAAACAATTTCCCCTCAATCAAACCACTCAATTAGCATTAACATCCAGCCACATGCGTCCACATATAATTCAAATGTCATACGAATCATTACTCATATTACTCATAAACGTACAGTCCCACGAGTTGCATCATTACGTAGCTAATTTGAGGCATAAAGAGAGTGTGGAAGGTAATTTCTTCGAAATTTTCGTTACACTAATTGGCTAAAGGTCAGAGTATCGAGTAATTTTGCACACGTAAGCATCGCCACACAACACAAACATGAAAAACCGGTAAGAAAATAGTTCTGTTTAGTGTGTGTACAGCGTGGAATACGTGTGTCCTTAAACCCCTGCCAGTACGATAAGGCACGATTTAAACGGATGATTTACGCATCGTACAAAATATGCCCCCTATACCTGCGACATGTAGTGAAAATTGAGTGTGTATTATATACGTGGATAAGTGTGTACACTTGTACACTTAAAACGATCGTTTCAAGAAGCGGAGAGAGACTATTCAACGAGCGTAAACCGAGTCGAAACGACGACACTCAAACTACTTGATTTATACACCGTACATATTCCTCAGTCCCTCTCGCATTGCTAATTCGTGTAATCACCTTATTCATGCTATTTTTATTATTTTCACTGTTTCGCCGTTTTTTCGTGACTTTTGTGTTGAGATATATTTTTTTAGACGAGGGGCCCATCGTCATTTCGATGATAGTTAATTGGCAAATCGGGAAAAGCTGTCACTGCTCTAACTGCTGCAGTCATTTAATTAATTGAGACTGAACATTTTCTATTTATTCATTTATTTATTTTTTTATTTATTGTGTATGGACCCAACAGCATAATGCCAATCACAGGGTCAAATCTAATACATTCAAATATAATTGGTTAAAGGTTTCTAGTTCCTCTCAATGAATTTTTTTATTTAGTGTGTTGACTGCAGTGAGTTTTGATGAGATAAAAACTATTCAAATCATTAATTTTCAATTGGAAATCGTCAGTTTTTTCCGTGGCATCACCTTATTTACATTGTTTTCTTATTATTTTAACTGTTTTGCCGTTTTTTCGTGGCTTTTGTGCTCAGATATATTTTTTCAGACTCGGAGCCCAGCCCAATTTGAATGATAATTAATTGCCACATCAGAAAAATTATTACGTTTCTAACAATCGCAGTAATTTAATTAATTGAATCTGAACATTATCCAGTTCCGCTTAATGATTTTTTTCATTTAGCCGCAGGATGTCGATGACTTCAGTGAATTTTCATGAGATAAAAACAATTAAAATCATTAATTTTCATTTTGAAATCTTGAATTTTTGTGTTGATTGATTGTTGTTAATGTCGATTATTATTGATATCGTTTTAACTATTTAGTAGTTTTTTCTTGTCTTTTGTGGCGAGATATCCTTTTTCCCACTATCGACTCCATCACCATTTGAATGATAATTAATTGCCACACCGGAGAAAAATTGCAGATTAGATTATATTAACCGTAATTACGTTTCACAAGGGATTACGATTCCAACTATCGCAGTCATTTAATTAATTAGAACTGAATTTGGTCTTGTTCCTCTTGTGAGGAATTCTTAGCTCTGAAGTTGAAGTGTGTCGGTGACTTTAGTGATTCATTCAAGCACATTCCCATTTAATTGGAGCTTTTCGGCTTTGATCGGGAATAAAATACATTATCTTTCAATTTAAAATCATGAATTCTTTTCCTAATCGGTGTCATCACCTGATTCACGCGTCACTACTTCAACTTTAACTCCTTGTCTCATGTGTCGAGGTATATTTTTTTCCCACTCTTGACTCCATCATCATTTGAATGATAATTAATTGCCACACCGGATAAAAAATTGCAAATTAGATGCTTTTAACCGTAATTACATTTCATGAGGGATTACTATTCCAACTATCGCAGTCATTTAATTAAATGCGACTGAACTCGGTCTAGTTCCTCCCCTCAGGAATTCTTAGATCTGAAGTTGAAGTGTGTCACTGATTTCGGTGAATTTTAGAGCATTTCCACTCAGACCGCGTAAATCGCCTTTGATATTCAGTTGATCGGGAATAAGATACTTAATTCCCCATTGAAATCATGAATTAACTTCAGTTCCTTGTCTCCTGTGTCGGAAATACCGTTTTCCACTCTCGACTCCCTCACCATTTAAATAAGAATTAATTGTCACATAAAAAAAATTGCAGACGAAATCGAGGGATTAATATTCCAACTATCGCAGTATTTTAATAAATTAGGACTGAACTCGGTCTAGTTCCTCCCCTCAGGAATTCTTAGATCTGAAGTGGAAGTGTGTCACTGACTTCGGTGAATTTTAATGGAACAGAAACTATTAAAGTCATTAGTTCTTGATTTTTTATTTCACATTGCAATTCGTATCATCGTTTTATCTCCCGTTTACTTCCTCGCGTGGAATTCTCATACCTCAAGTTGAAGTGTGTCGATGACTTCAGTGAGTCATTCAAGCATATTCCTATTTAATTAGAGCATTTCCACGCAGACCGCGTAAATCGCCTTCGATATGCAGTTGATCGGGAATAAAATACTTAATTCCCCATTATCTTTCAATTTGAAATCATGAATTAACTTCAGTTCCTTGTCTCCTGTGTCGGAAATACCGTTTTCCACTCTCGACTCCCTCACCATTTGAATAATAATTAATTGTCACATAAAAAAAATTGTAGACGAAATCGAGGGATTAATATTCCAACTATCGCAGTATTTTAATAAATTAGGACTGAACTCGGTCTAGTTCCTCTCCTCAGGAATTCTTAGATCTGAAGTTAAAGTGTGTGTAAAGTCATTAGTTCTTGATTTTTTATTTCACATTGCAATTCGTATCATCGTTTTATCTCCCGTTTACTTCCTCGCGTGGAATTCTCATACCTCAAGTTGAAGTGTGTCGATGACTTCAGTGAGTCATTCAAGCATATTCCTATTTAATTAGAGCATTTCCATGCAGATCGTGATAAATTGCCTTTGATATTCAATTGATCGGGAATAAAAGGCTGTTATTCACGTGCGTAAAACGCGTTATAGTGCACCATTGTCCCACCTGTTTGGCTACCTATTCAAGCCATTATCTTTCAATTTGCCTCTTTTGTTCGTTAAGTGGTTGATTCCGCTTTGTGCGTTATTACGTAATGCAATTATATGTTGGTTTGTTCAATGCAACAGCAATTTCTCTGGGTATTTTCATTGATAACGCCGGGTTAATTTCAGTCGTTCGCGTACGGGAATTGCACACGTCTCATGCGTTCTTTATGGTTATAAAAGTGTATGTATTAACGTCAATTCATGATGGACAAAAAAATTCTCACCTGTGTTTCCGTTAATGAGAGCGCCTGAGCGAGCTGTTTCCTTTCGGCTCCGACTACGTAATGGTTCTTCTCAAATGCATGCTCGAGTTTCAATAATTGACTTGGACTGAATGCTGTTCTTATTCTCTTGGGTTTTCTGAATGGTTGGAGGAGGAAACCTGGTATGTCTGGACCTGGGGAGTACAGAATTTTATGTTGTTGAATATTTTTGACTCAAGTTTCGAGGAATTTCGGAGTTGAAAATTCAAAATTTTATGGATTCAATGGAACTCAATTTTCAGTTGAATTATTTTGTGAGAATTGATGGAAATTAGGGAGGCTGTGGAGAATTAATTGGAAATATTCATGTTTTCATTGATTATTTAAGTAAATTGGGGAATTCTCGGGTTCTTGTTGCTCAAAAATGAGGAGTTTCATTGAATTTTCAATCAAATCTGGAATTTCATGATTTTTCTCATGAAATTACAATTTTTTGGCTGAAATTTCCGCATCACTTCTCGGAAATTTCTATCACATTATAGTTTCACTGAAATTGCAAGTAATTTTGTCATTGAAAACTCGAAATTCCGTGGAAAAATCAATGGAGACTGCAAATTCCAGTCCAATTATTCCATAAAAATTTGCAAATAAAAAAATTGTGGTGAATTAATTGAAAAGGCAGCATAATTTGATACTGAATTAATATTTACATTGAATATTCAACGAAGTTGGGAAATTCAGTGCTTCGTACAGTTCAAAAATTTCCAATTTCCTTGAATTTTCAAACAAATCTAAAATTTGATGCTTTTCTCATCAAATTTCAATCTTTTACTTCTTGACAATTACTCTCACGAAAATTACTGCTCAAACGTCCACGAAATTTCAATCACCAGCACACAAATACAATAACCAATAAATCAAATTCACCATTAAAAAAAAAAAAAAATATTCGACATTTGACGATTTCAATCGTTAATTGCCTGCTATTTCCACTGAATGTCACCAAACATATCCCGAATTATGTTAAGCCCCTCCATCTAAATTCATTACCACCATTTTCACCCAGATAATTGGAATAATTTACGAACTATCCAAGCGATCGTTTATTCCCTCTCCTTCAAACCCATACCAGACTCTTGAATTCCGTTATGCAGCTGTAGAAATTCACAGCAATAAACTCGAAAGATAACCGATACAATATTTCAGCAAGATTTTCACCGGGAGTTTTTAGTTTTCCCTCGGCATTACGTATTTTTTTTAGTTAAGAGTTAAACATACAAAGGGCGGGCGCAGTAAAGATAAGCATAAACTCACTCGTGTTATATTGTAAGGCTATATACCTAATTGAGTATTCTCTACCTCGAAAGGCGCCTGTCGATCGTATAACGATACATACTACCGGCCTAGGTTGTGCACCAACGCCGGAAGTCGTTCAAGATACTAGGCACCGGGTAATAACGGAAAAAAGGAGACGATAAATGCGCGCGCCCACGAGGTTGCACAAAACGTGAATACAATGTGTGTCTTGGTAATTACTCGATAAATATGGAAAAAAAGGGAACAGGAGAGGGCGGGGGGGGGGGGGGGAGATGAGGATAAAAAATGAACGGGGTTAAACTTTCTTCTTCGTTTTTGCTCCAACGCCCAATACAATTACGGGAGGACGTCCGAAAGAGGGCGCTCCGAGCAGCTGACCGGACTGGTTACCCTGGAGGCGACGCGAAATTACACGAAAATAATACTGAATGGTGAATGTATCAAATTATCTCTCGTTGGCGAGCCGGGGAAATTAAAAAACGAATCGGCAAATGTTGGGAATTCCTTCTTTCAAAACTTCTCGCCGGTCGCGCCCCTAATGCGGTTTTAATTAATCGTTTCGGAGTTGACTGTTCCCAATGCATTTTGAGAAATATTTCTGCCATTAGTTTATCCCCCCCCCCCAACGGGGTCGGTCCAGGGGGGAAGGGTAATTAGTGTTATTATGACGCGAACTGGTAGCGTAATGCGGCCGCGATTCTCGGCGGGTTTCGCTACGGGAAAAATCGAGAATACTTTCGCGAGGCACGATGATCGATTGTGAAAATTTAACTATGGGGGGGGGAGAAGGGTGGGGGGATGTGATGGCTTCATTTTGGGGAGGCCTGAACGGAGAGGAATACCGGGGGGTAATTTGTCGGTGAATATTGGCGAAAATTTAAAGATGTTTGAATTTTTTGGGGCTTCGGGGATTTTAGTGTCGTTTTGGATTTTGTTCAGTGAGAATGGACTGTTTTGTGATTTTTTTGGGGATGATTCCGTCATTTTTGAGGGGCAATGAGAAGGGAATCGGAATATTCAGAGGCCTCTGTGGTTTTCTGGGAAAATTTGGAATTTCATTCGTTGAATTATTTTTTATTCCGGATTTTTTGGGAGCATTTTGCATGAATCTTTCGTGCTTCATGAAAAACAGTGATTCATTTGTGGAATATTTTCTGTGAAAACCCGGAAATTTGAAGGGTTGAGATCATTCTGAGGATTTTTAATGAAAAAGTTCAGATTAATTGTTAAAAGCTTAAATTTTGCATTTGATTATTCAAATTTTGATGGACTAAATATTCCTTCCGCCATTTTGAGCCGTCAGAAGATTTTTTTTATTCTAAGAAAATTTACTAAGTATAGATTTAGGGGAATATTAATTTTTTTAAATTGAAGAAAAGACAATTTTGGAAAATTATACATAAATAAATAAATAAATTAGACATTGTATAAACAACTCTGAAGAACGCAGCATTCATTACTTGTCCAAACAATTCCCACTACATATTTCTACGAAGAAAATTTTGTAAAAAAAATGTCTCCACTTGTCATTCAATTTCTCTCACAAAATTAATTTCCAAATAATGCAAAAATTATTGCAGCGCGCGTTGTGCATGGAATCGCGTTGAAATCCTGGATTCTCGCTCAAAGGAATTCATTAAAGACTGAAATAAAATGAAACGTGACACCCCGAGCGGCATGAAGACATCCTGATTGGACAATATGAAACAACTATAACGAAATAAAAAGCAAAAAATGCTCGTACCCTGTCAGAAAGTCAGTGGTTTAAAAAAACTGGGGAAAAGGAGGATTTTTTAAGCCCAAGTGCCGTGAAGAGATCATGGGGGGGACAATGAGGCGACCTGGGGGCTGTAAAGGAAAAAAATTGTGCGTGAAACAGCACTGACAATGGGTGAGCTCCACGTGAAAATGAAAAGAGGAGAAAAAACGTAATGTGATGGAGAGTTGGGCTCGAGTGGACGTCATGCGGTGCGTGCCCAGGGGTAAACGACAAGACACACTGGGACAATGGAGATTAACACGCTTTGTTATTGATGATGATGTCTCATTGATACTGATGGGATTTATCGATCTCTGATTTCTTCACTGCACCATTCATTTTTTCCTGCTTCTGAATCAATTCCATACGATTTTTTATCTCCAGATAATTCATACTTCGTCAATTAATTATGAGGAAATATCTCCTTTTTTAATTAATATCTATTCATGAATTTGTAATGTCAGAAATTTTTTGTAATTGGGGTTAATGCGGCATTTCCATTTTCAATTTTGTGAATTTAAATTGAATTTAATATTAAGTTAAATTCGGGTGTTTAATGACATTGAGGTTTTTATGTTGAGTGATAGTTAATATTTCAACAACAGCTTGAATGATAAAACTCATTGTGAAAGGTGCACATCACGTTTTAAGGGATTTAACACTCTAAATCATTCATCAAAAGATTTTAATTCGACTGCATTCGTTGTTATAGTTTTCCGTGATTTACATTTTATGATTAAATAGTGGAAATCGGTTAAAATTCCAGAAAACTCATGAGTTGTGAAATTAATTTAATTGTGACATTCATAATTCATGAATTAATCATGAGAAAATATCCCACATTTATCGCGATGTCAGAAATTCTTCAAAATTAGAGTTAAAGCTGCATTCATTTCGTTCATAAAATTTCTTGTTCATTCTAAAAATTCAATAACATTAAGTACTTCATGTAGGATGATAATTAACACTTCAACAACAGTGTGAATTCTCAAACTCATCGTGAAAGTTGGGCATCCCATTCAATTGAATTTCCACTAGATCAAACTGTATGGAAATTTCATGTAAATTATTCATTCTAAAAAATATATTTTTTGGGTTTTTCCTCAAAATAGTTTATATGGCATAGAAAATCGTTTAAAATTCCGGCAAACTCATGAATTGTAAAATTAATTTAATTGTAACATTCATAATTCATGAAGAAATATCCCACATTTACCACAATGTCAGAAATTCTTCAAAATTTGAGTTAAAGCTGCATTTCAATTTTCAATATTATGAATTTGAATTCAGTTGAAGATTAAATCGTTCATAAAATTTCTTATTCATTCTAACAATTGAATAACATTAAGTACTTCGTGTCGGATGATAATTAACACTTCAACAACAGTGTGAATTCTCAAACTCATCGTGAAAGTTGGGCATCCCATTCAATTGAATTTCCGCTAGATCAACATGTATGGAAATTTCATTTAAATTATTCATTGTAAAAATCATGTATGAATGAAATTGTGGAAGCCCATTCATCATCGCGTCATCGAACAGACGTGAACGTGAATTTTCAGGGAGAAAAACGTCTCCATAGTAAATTTAGAATCGCTTTCTTGCATTGATCGCGCATAATAACGGCCGATCCTCCATTTCCCCGAGGCTTTACAACATTTGTCCCGCGCACTCGAGCACAAAACAATAGTCACCTAACACAAGTCCTCAACTTATCGAGTGACAACACGACTATCATACACAAGGTCATTAACTAATAGCCACAATTATTCTTCCCTCCCCAAGACATTCGTTGTCTTTCCGTTATCGCGATGCGCGTGAGTGTTGAACAATCAAATTAGATAATTAGTGCATCGTTTACGGTTATTTAGTTGACAATGTACATACGCAGTGCATACACAGTGATATAGTCGAGGAAAGAAATAAGTATTGCAAGCTTATCAGCGCCTCCACCGATATGAAAGAAAATAAATACAGGGATAGTGGCAGTTGATTACACAGAGAAACAAGTTGGAGAAAAATTAACGAACAAGTCAAGTAATCGTGGAGCAACCACAATTTCCAGTGCTTTGTCGCCTTAAGTAGGAGAAAAAGTGTGAAATTAATCACGAAAAAAAAATATGCTTGATTCAAGCATATTATTCTTGATTCGAGTGTATAATATAAATTTTATTGTAATATATTTATTATAACATCTAACAGTGTAAATTTTTTTTTGAAAAATCGTAAGATATCCACTAAAAACCAGGATTTTTTCACTGAATTACACTTCGCTCTCCGATTATTACTCGTAATATCATATATAGGAAAATTTGTCACGATTTTGAAGTATTTTTTATCCAATTTTTCTCTCGGTGTACCGAATATTATACTGTTAGAAAATTACTCTTAAAATTTCAAGTGAAAAAGCTTAAAATTTTTAACAACGACAAAATTACATGCAATTAAATAGGAGAAAAAGTGCGAAATTAATTACGAAAAAAAATATGCTTGGTTCAAGCATATTATTCTTGATTCGAGTGTATAATATAAATTTTATTGTAATATATTTATTATAACATCTAACAGTGTAGATTTTTCTTTTGAAAAATCGTAAGATATCCACTAAAAACCAGGATTTTTTCACTGAATTACACTTCGCTCTCCGATTATTACTCGTAATATCACACATAAGAAAATTCGTCACGATTTTGAGGCATTTTTTATCCAATTTTTCTCTCAGTGTACCGAATATTACACTGTTAGGAAATTACTCTTGAAATTTTTACCAACGACAAAGTTACATGAAATTTCTGTAGAATTCTTCACTGACGGATCAGTTAATTTCTTTAATATTCAAGTAATTCTCGGTTTTCAGGTGCATACGACACTGAAAACCTTGAAAATTTCGAAAATTCAGGCAATAACTTCTCTGAATTTTCAATCTATTGAAAATTGAATTCAGTAGCGAAGTTTTAAAACTGTACAAGTCAATTTTGACGATTGATCAGTTTTCAATAAATATCTCCGAATCTAAGGAAGATAGCAAAATTTTCATTATGACCTTTTTTGTAGAGTCGATTGAGAGCTACAACAAATGTTATTACAAGAATTTCGCTATCTCCCTTAGATTCGGAAATATTCTCCAAAAACTCAACTGGGAGATCAGTCGACTTGAACCGTTTTACCACTTCGCTACACTTCACCATGAGTTCGGAAATTCAAGCTATTCTTGAACCATCGATAATTTTTTACCATGAAAAACCCAATTTTCTTGAATTTTCAGGATGAATGAGAAATTTAATAATCGTTTTCCTTTGAAATTGAATTCAAACTCCCAAAATTGAAAATCCAGATGATTTGTTGACTGAAATTTCACGAAATTTCCAACAGTGTAAAATAGGCTGATTGCAGTGGAAGTTCTGGAAAAAGCGGAGAATCCACCGGAGGATTGAGGAATAATCAATCCAGCGGGGATAGACTGCTTACTGAAAGAGGAAGCAATTACAATCAGTTTGTTATCAAGACTAAGGGATTAATAAACGCGGAAGAGGGAAACACGGGGTTAATGCCTCCGGGAGAGTACATCAGCACGCGATGTCGGGTTGGTACACGATGATTAAACAACTGAGAAATATATGATAAAGAATGAATTCAGAGTCACTGGGGTCAGATGTAGCACTTAATACGTTGGTTACAAAATCTTCAATTACGAAACGTTGCGTCACGCTCAATCCTTCGTGATATGATACGCAAACAAGTGAGATTACACCACTTTGAATTATCTTCTGGTCGATGGGTTATTCGAATTTTGGATTGTTCGGGGAAAGTGGCATGCGATGTCTCATGAAACTATTCGAAGGGTCTAATTTGGGAATTTGAATTCGATTTAAAATCGAGAGTTTTGGGAGAATATTGGATTTTAAAATGAAGAATTATTCGCGAGTTTTAATGTCACTCTCAAACGGCTAGACAAATCGGCGAGCGATAAACATTTCTGTTGTGTTTTAGGCACTATTAAACATTTGTGGCAGAAATTTGGGCTGCGCGCCTTTGAAAATTTTATCAAGTGACAGCTTCATTGGAATTCCAAGAAATTTTGTCATTGAAAATTCACAAGTTGATGGGGGAATCAAAGAAGATGGGGGTTCAGTTCATTATTCCGTGAAAATGAATGGAAATGGAGAATATTCAGGCAAATGTATTGCTAAATTTCCAATTTATTCAGAATATTCAAGTAAGTTCCGAAATTCTCGGTTTTCTGGTGATCAAAAATTTGAAATTTCATTGAATGTTCAGTAAAGCTGGGATTTTATAATTCGTAATTTTTGAATTTACAATTAGTTCAGATTTCAGCGTAATTTGATGCTGAATATACAAGTAAGTTGGGAAATGTTTATGAAAAATTATTTCGATATTTAAAAAATATCTAATTTTTTAATATTCCATGGAACTCCACTTTCCAGGTCCACATAACAGTCGAAATGACCGGAAATCCAGAAAATTCATTTGAACGTGACATTCAAACCTCAGAACAACTCTGAAAGAGCAAACTCTCATTTTGAAATCTCAATAATTTCCCTCGCAAAAATCCTAATTTCATCCCATTCCCAAGAAGAACAAGAAATTTCATAATCGATTCAACCCTAAGCAGAATTCAACTTCCCCCCATTGAACCTTCAACCTCAGTAATGACTTGCATACACTCATAGAATTTTTTTGGAAATTAAGCAGTAATTGCCCTTGAATTCTCAATACTGTGAATTTGAATTCAATTCAATCTTTCATTCAGGTTCTAAGAAGAGCATTTAGAATCTAGAACATTTAGAATTTTCAATTTCAATTCATTGTGGAAATTGAACATCAGATCCAACTAAATGCTCGGTGGATAGGAAATTCGGATAAATTGTCGCAATTCCATTGAATTCCCCAGACTTCAACTAATTTTTCAATACCAAAATACCCAAAAATTCCATGTAAAAGAGTGGCTGTTAAAAATGTCACCATTTTTTTGAAATTTCTGTAATGACTTGCATACACTCATAGAATTCTTTTGGAAATTAAGCAATAGTTGCCCTTGAATTCTCAATACTGTGAATTTGAATTCAATTCAATCTTTCATTCAGGTTCTAGAACATTTAGAATCTAGAACATTTAGAATTTTCAATTTCAATTCATTGTGGAAATTGATCCAACTAAATGCTCGGTGGATAGAAAATTCAGATAAATTCTCGCAATTCCATTGAATTCCCCAGACTTCAACTAATTTTTCAATACCAAAATACCCAAAAATTCCATGTGAAAGAGTGGCTGTTAAAAATGCCACAATTTTTTTTAAATTTCCGACCAAATTTTCTACCACCGCATAAAAAAAGCCTGTCACCGAAATGTCAAAGCGCGAAGAAACCCCTCGACTTTCCATGACTTACCAGCGGGAAATCTGTGAGGAAAGAGTCTCCCATGTCTGGAGAGAAGCCACGGAAACAACGGATAACTGTCCCTAGGAGGTTGATGAGGATGTGGTGGTGGATGAGGACCAGGTCCCCCGGCATGTCCGTACGGACTGTGGGGTGGTCCATGAGGCGATCCGCCATGATGCGCCTGAAGGGCGACAGCCAAATTGGACGCCTGAAAGTGCTGTGCAGCAGCCAAATTGGCGGCGAGAGCAAACTGCTGCGTGTGATACTCCGTTTGTCCAGGCTGCGGTGCCGCTGGATGTCCAGGGAGTCCATACAGCGCCTTGATCTGTTCGCTAGCGACGGCCGCAGCAGTGGCCGCACTGGCCGGTGGTCCCAGATAATTCGGACTCGGCCTGACAACCCCCGGTGGCGGCTGATGATGCCCCGGCGAATCCCCATGCGATATCCTGTGCGGAGGGCTCGGACTGTTATTCGGTGTCGACGCACCACTGTGACTCCTCGTCCTCCCATAATCCATGTGACTCGTCAACGACTGCACATGATGATGACCCCTCTGCATCTGTCCATTGTGTCTCGTCACCGGATACGACTCGATCGACGAACTCCGCGACAGCGGCCTGTCCGAGCCCTCGGAGTGTGCACCCGGTGAGCGGACAATCCGCCGCGATGACCTCGGCGACGAGGAGCCCTCCACCTCCGTGGGACTGCCATCCCTCTCCATCTCCACCCTCTCGTGCAGTCTCTCCAGCCTGTCATCGCGACCACCACCCACAATAGAGTCAATACTAAACCCGATCTTCGGCTTCGAGGGTACCGGGACTATTGGCGTCGGTGCGAGCGGCATCATCGTACGCCCAAACTCACTTAACACTTTATTTACTCTAACAATTCAACACTGCAATGTACCTTAATCTACCTTAATCCGTGAACACTGGCTAGTGGCATTGCTCCCAACTTATCCGATCGTGGTACCACACAACCGCACATTAAATCCTCAATCTCATCAGTGATTTTGCAAATAACGGAGAACAAACAACCACTTGTCACGACACTGCGTCTACTTTTCTACGAATAAACTGAAAAACCGATTGTTTAGTCAGACGAAGAGAGAAAGAGAGAGAGAGAGAGAACGGAGAGCAACCGGGTAGGATGTTTCTTGTCTGAGCTCTTGCTAGTGTTTGAGGGGAAAATTACCCGGCTAAACGAGTCCGGCCCGTGCTGCGGTCCCTACCAATGGCCGTGGAGGTGGGGGAAGAGTGATGTTGTACCGCGGGGGCCTTTTACCCCCACTACGAGCCCAGTGAAACTCAATTAGATGGGAACGAGCGCGGCTGCGGTGGGGGGAAAGCGCGAGGTGACAACCCACTGGGGGGGCGGGGCCTGCGAATCACCCGCGGCGCGTGGAGGGGGCGGGGACAAT